AGCATGCCAGAGGCTGTGTCGGAGGCCTCCACCATCCCCAGTTTGATATTGGTACCTAATTGAAGTGACTTTAGCTATTGATAAGCAACTTGGAAGTATTCTCACACAGGTGAATTCATCCAGTGAGATAGTTGAACTGCTTGGGAGGCTTCCTAGTATGTCGGAGGCTGTGTCAGAGGCCTCCATCATTCCCAGTTTGATATTACTGCACCATACACCTAATTCCAGTGAATGTAGCTATTCACATACACCATCAGAAGGGGTCCCGCATGTTGGAATCTGTTTTGTTGGAAGCTTCAGCTCTTCGGGATGTCTCCCGATGAGTTGGAGGCCTCCAACCTGCTTCCAGTTTGATATTGGTGCACCGTAAAACCCATTGCTCCATTGCTGTAGATATACTTGTTCCGAATGAATATTAAAGGTATTGTACTATCGCCACAAATATAGGGATCGGTCTTTGGACCATGATTTGACCTGAATTCAATCAATAGCAAACCTCCTACCTACAGTTGAATCTGCTGAATATGGCTGATGGATCAAAGCACAGAGGTTTATGTCCCACAGGATTATAACCATAATCAGTAGCTTGTCATTCTAGAAACATCAGTAATGTTTAAGGCTGTGGAGGCCTCAAGCTTTCTTCTACTCTCGGAATATTTTTATTCAGGGTTCACTTGTTGTGTTTCAAATGCCGATGACAGTTATTAATTAATGATTTCATCGTACAAAGATAGATGTTCGAGATATATATCAGAGATGTGTACCTGCAAGATACTGGAGGTGGTGGAGATGGCGAAGACCATCAGAGGAGGTGTCGAAGGTCGTGTCGAAGGCCACTGGAGGCCTCCCACACCTACCGCAAAATGACAATGGCTTCCGATATGGGTATTTATTCATGATTTCATCCTATGAAGATAGATGCTCAAGATATATATCAGAGATGTGTACCTGCAGGATACTGGAGGTGGTGGAGATGGCGAAGACCATCAGAGGAGGTGTCGAAGGTCGTGTCGAAGGCCACTGGAGGCCTCCCACACCTACCGCAAAATGACAATGGCTTCCGATATGGGTATTTATTCTTGAGGTTCACATATTGTATCATATTCTCTAGTTCCAGGTTGAAAACTACAAAAACTGAATAGTTTAAGGAACGACACCACCTCCAGCACCTCCAATGCCACCTCCGACGCCTCCCTCCCCTGCGTAATCCAAGAATTTCAGTGGTATACATGGTAGATAATGTGCACCTGCCACTGCACATAGTGCCTATCCATTGCTTACTCTCTCAACTGGTGGAACTCAGCATAAATGTGCTAGGTATTCATTCACCTTGCCCAGCTCAACAGGAAATCTTCCATTATTTTTTCAGAAAACAGCCGACATGGACTGGGAAAGACTCACTGAGGGGTAGCAGAGCACTTATGAACACTACCTTGATTTGCAAAAGGGTGGTTGGCAACCAGAAGGTGTTTGGCACAACGGCCCATGAAAGATCTGGTAGTCAAGGGTCAAGTCCTGATTAGGACATGTATGGGTTCGACACATTTTCGAGCACCGGATTTCGAACTGCAGGCAAAAATCTAATTTAAACTAGACCATCTCCGGGCAGTATCCAGGACCCATGTCCGCATTGTTCCAGAGGGGGGAGATGCAGCCGTGCATCCATAATAAAAAAATTGCACTGAGCTCATGGTTATTTGCGCTCTGATTGGCTGCCAAATGACGCACTGATTACGTGTAAGGCTCGGGCCGAGGGCGGCGAAGGTGTGCCAAATATTTGGTCCAGTCTTACACTCTCTTTTCACGTCCACCCTCTCCTCCTACCTCCGTCCTTTTCCTGCCGTCTGGTGAGTGATTATGCTCAGCAGGTTGCTGCCCAGCTGATAATGTGATGAGGCCTGTTTACTTTCTGATTCGGCAAGGCAGGGCAGTGGGGTCCCGCCTCCGTGCTTTTTTTGTCTCAACATCCCGCTTGCTGGACCTCCCTGGTAAGTAAACATATCCCTCCCTTCATGTTTTTTTTTTCACTGATGCATATCTCTTTACAAGCTCCCGCTTTCATAAAGTTTCAGTGAGCAAGATTAATGTATTCGTCTATTTCTTTCCTGACAATCTCCTGTAGCGTCGAATGATGTATAAGGCTGCTAGGACGCCTTCCTCTATTCCGGCTGCCGACCTGTCCTTCCTTTTCATCCCCAATGCGGTGACGTGTCTGCAAAGCAGCGGGGTTTGCCTCCCCGACCTCCTCACCTCCTTTTGGCCTTCAACGCACAACGAGCTCAGCAGGTGGTGCGGGATGGGTGGCAGCATGTAGGAGGCCACACTAAGGTTCACACAAGTCGTCTAAGCAGCGCTCGGAATCAACCCCATTCTTCAGCCGAAATTGGTGCACATAGCATGCCGGCAGACAGGATATGTGAATGCAACCACGTCCCACCACCCTATGGCCCACTCAGTATTGCGCAGGTAAACCAAGGGCCAAGACAAGGCCTCGGGTGCCAGTGCCTCCAACACCTCCGTCGCCTCTAATGCCTACGATGGGGCCTCCAAACAACCCCTCAGGCTCTTCCGGCTTCCAATTCAATCCCTTGCAGACTGGATTGGGAGAGCCCACCCCATCCGCCGCTCCTCACCACTGCCGCCCAGCACCTTTCAGATTGGACCAGGAGCGCCCACATCCGCTGCTTCTCGGTGGCACCCAACGTCTACCCCCCACTCTTTGACACCGCCGACAACATTAAACACGGTGCAATTTCAAGCTTACCTCAAGAGCAATTGCTTCGAAGCAATTCCCCTCCCCCCCCTCCCCCCCTCGGCCACACTGGGCGGCCCCCATGGCTCTGCCAACTCCGTGTCCCTCACCTCCATCTCCACCGAGAACAACGGCTCCGACGATGAGCATGGCAGCAGCAAGTCCCCTGGCCCAAATGCTGCCTCCTCCGCCTCCTACACCTCCTACACCTCCTACACCTCCGACGGCCCCAAGCTTTTTGATGGTTTAGACCACACACACCCCGAGATGACAGCCTGGCTCATGATAGTGACCTCATCCCCACTCTTGATGCCTGAGACCAGCGGGATGAGGACAACAAACACTAGTATTATCATTTGTAGATTTCATATCTTAGTTGTTCATTTTGTAGCCTACTTCCTTGTTATACAGCCTCCTGGAGGCTTGTAAATAATTGTGATTTGGTTGCAATTCATTGGAGCCAGTGAGCTGGCGGGCGGGCGCTCGGACGCTTGCGTCGGAGGTGGGAGGTGCCACCAGGAGGCGGAGGTGGCATGCCACGGGACGTGCCAAGCACAGTGCGCAAAGAGGTGCGGGAGGCAGGAGGGGGGAGGCAGCGTGCCATGCTCCGTGCTGAGCATGGTGCGCAAACAGATGCGGGAGGTGGGAGGGTGGTAGGTGCGGGAGGCGGGATGTGCCGAACACGGCGCACGTTGTGGGAGGCAGGAGGCGGAGATGCCACGGGATGTGCCGAGAATGGCGCGCAAGAGTACCTAATATAGAAGCCCGTGACCTACGACCTACGACCTACAGCGGCCTCTTAGGGGGGTTATGCTCCTACAACATAACCCCCCCTAAGAGGCCCTCACGTGACCGGCGACGGTGCTCCCTTAGGTGACTACAGGACTGTTCTTGGATTCATCTGGCATGCCATGGAAAGCAAGATGTAATGGATCCCACCAAAAGTCGCCTCCTGCTCTATGGAGGCAGCTTGGACCTAGAAACAATCCTCAGGATGCCACTCTCCAATGCCCAGTTTGCATTCCTCGCTGCATGCCAGACAGCCATGGGAGATGCTGAACTGGTGAATGAATCCTTTCACCTCGGTGGCGGATTCATTGCTGCAGGTTTCCGAGGTGCTATTGGAACACTGTGGTCGATGAATGATTCGGATGGACCGGTGGTTGCGAAGCTTGTATACTCTCATCTGTTTCGTAATGGTCGAGAGCCTCAGGTGACTGATGCAGCGGAGGCTCTCCACCTGGCAGTGAAGGAATTGAAAGCCCGAAAGGTTCCGTACGAGCGTTGGATACCATTTATCCACATGGGCATTTGAACTCATGTACTGTACCTGTGTGCCATAATATAAGTATGTTTAGTATAGTCAATCATGTCTTATGTACATCAACTGTTCTAGGCCTCAGGCCAAGCTGACACCCGAGAAATTGGCTCCAGTTTTACCCCATTCCATATCACGAGCGGCATTTATGATAATCCTTGTCCAGCTGAACTTCTGTGCAGTAGTAGTAGGGCAACACTGGTTGTTGTGCCCTGATTTTCGCTTCAAGTTCCATCAGACTGTCGATTTGACGAGTTTCTGTCCTTGAGAACCTCTCCAAAAAGGAGGGGCCTCACTTCGTTTATCTTTCGACTCGGCCCGTGTTTGGGTGTGAGCTGGATGGTGGGTGCCTTTTCCGGCAAGCCAGCCAGATCAAGAGCGTGCGTTCGGCAGGGGAAACCCTGCCGAAAGGCACTCGGGCAAAACTGAATGGGGCTGATCGAACAGAAAAGGGAAAACACCAAAGGCGTGGGTGGGTGGGCGCTGAGTTTTTGGAGCACGTAGTGCAGCTCGCTGCTCGCCGAGGACTTGGCGAGAGCTGGTCGACGGCAGAAACAACTGTGCTTTGGCTCTGTTGTTCTGCCCTCGGCTGGCTCCGTGCCAGTTCTCGGCCAGAAAACTTGTATCTACTACTCATTCGTACGTAGATCCGCCCACATCTGAAAGAATTCAATTCTAAATGAATGATTAGACCAGATAGACAGTGTTTTTTCTTTCTTTTTCTTATGACCATTCTCGAGAATCCCAAATGACCCCCATTCCACCTTAAATCGCGCAGATTGACCTCTGCGGGATAGAAGGAAAGCCCATATGCGGAGCCATGTTGGATTTCGAACACCAACATTTTGGTTGAACTTCATGATTTGTCTTGACCATTGGAGATTCGGAATTAAATCCCATAGAGATGATCCTGAGTAGAGATGGAACGAAGGCTCGGTGGTGGGTAGTCCACATATGCATTTAATATATGAGCTTCGCGTGCCTTTATGCAGAGAGCGCTCGTTCAATTCGGGCCCGAGCCACTTAAAGACCAACAGGATTTTTTTCGTGGGTTTAGGCTTCGGAAGACACAAAAATTGTTCAGATTGCTGAGGGTAGATAGAGGGTAGGAAGGCTCGGTGGTGGATGGTCCACATCTGCATGTTATGGGTGGCCTGGACCAGCTAACATTAATGTTGAAATTAAATGTGGCATTTTTTACTATGACACGGGTTAGGCAGGCGCAGAAATGCTGAGATTGCTGAGGCCAGATAGAGAGTAAGAAGGCTCGGTGATGGATCCACATCTGCATTTCATGAACCACTGGGTCGATAATTATATATGCAGCAGGAGCTCGTTCGATTCGGGCCCGAGCCATGTGTAGGGCGCGGCGTCTTTTTATTTTTTGGTTCACCACTCTCACGACTCGCACTGACTGCCATTACAAATTGAATCTAGGAGTTACGACTCTCGCTCGATAGAAGGGAGGCCCATTCGAGGCGCCTTGAGGGATTTGAACATCAATTTGGAACTTTGTGAATTCTTCCTGACCGCTCCATACTCGTATACGTAGCTATTCTCAATTTCGGTGAGATATGAGATGACCGAGATTAGAGAGAGAGATGGAAAGGAAGTCTCGGTGGTGGATGGTCCACATCTGTATTTAATATATGAGCTTTGCGTGCCTTTATGCAGAGAGCGCCCATTCAATTCGTGCCCGCGACACTTTGAATTCAAGGTTTATCTGTTTTTACTACGGTGAGGCTTCGGCGGGCTCGAAAAATGCTGAGATTGCTGAGGCCAGATAGAGGGTAGGAAGGCTCGGTGGTGGATGGTCCACATCTGCATCTGTCTCGCTACCCTTTATGCAGAGAGCGCTCGTTCAATTCGGGCCCGAGCCACTTTCGAACAAGATTTTTTTTTAAATGGGTTGAGGCTTCGAGACACAAAAATTGTTCAGATTACTGAGGTTAGATAGAGGGTAGGAAGGCTCGGTGGTGGATGATCTACATCTGCATGTTATAGAAGGCCTAGAACAGCTAACATTGATGCAGAAGCAGCCTGTTTGAATCGGGCCCGAGCCACGTGAAAATGTATCCCAACCATTTTTTACTGCGGTGAGGCCTCGGGAGGCTCAAAAAATGCTGGGTTATTGAGGTTAGAAAATAAGAAAGAAAGGCTCAGTGGTGGATGGTCCACATCTGCATCTAATCTACCTGTCTCGCTACCCTTTATGCAGAGAGCGCCCGTTCAATTCGGGCCCGAGCCACTTGGGATCCAAGGTGCATCTTTTTTTTTTTACTGCGGTGAGGCTTCGGTGGGCTCAGAAATTACTCAGATTGCTGATGCAAGATAGAGGGTAGGAAGGCTCGGTGGTGGGTGGTCTACATCTGCATCAGCATTGGAGGTCTACATTGACACTTATGCAGAAGGAGCCTGTTCGATTCGGGCCCGAGCCATGCGTAGGGTGTACCTTTTTTGCTGCGCGCTGTCGAGACCTGCTGAGAGCCATCGAAATTATATCGCGCAGATATGGCCCCCGCTAGATGGAAGGAAGGCCCATTCGCGGAGCCATGCGGAATGTTGAACATCATTTTGGGCTGAACCTTGTGAATTCTTCCTGATCACTCGAGATTCGGAATTAAAGCTCATAGAGATGATCCAGGGTAGCAAGATGGAAAGGAAGGCTTGGTGGTGGTGGCCCACATCTGCATCCCATAGGGCTCAAATTGCAAGGGAAACTCATGCAGAAGAAGCTCATTCAATTCGGGCCCGAGCCATCTTGATTCAACCTCATCTTTTTTTTCCTGGGATGAGGCTTCGGCGGGCTCAGAAATTACTCAGATTGCTGAGGTCAGATAGAGGGTAGGAAGGCTTGGTGGTGGGTGGTCCACATCTGTATCCAATTGGGAATTCGCGCCAAGAATTTATGCAGAAGCAGCTCGTTCGAATCGGGCCCAAGCCATTGTTGGTCGTCGGAACGATTTTTTCTTCTTCTTCTTCTTCAGGCGCAGCAGCTTGAAATTCTGGCAGATATCCTCCGAGTCAGGGCCGGTGTTCGACGAGCCCAAGCAGGAGATCTGTTGGAAAAAATCTCAACTTTGTCAGTAATAGGGGTTAAGTTGAAATTCTGATGCATATAATCAGAGACATCTGAGGGTTGAGAAGGGCTTGGTGGTGGAATGGTCCATATCTGCATTCAATACCGCAACTATCTTTCACCTGCTTATGCAGAAGTAGCTCGTTCGATTCGGGCCCAAGCCACTGATGGTCGGAGGGACGATTTTTTATTTTTCAGGCGCAGCAGCTTAAAATTCTGGTACAAGATATCTTCAGAGCCGGTGTTCAAAAAGCCCGAGCCCAAGCCCAGAATGGAAGAGGACTTGGAGGAGGTCTGTTCGAAAAATTTCAACTTCGAATAGGGACCAAGTGCGCGAACGACGATGAGTTTCTGATAGATATGGCCAGAGGTATTTGAGGGCTAGGAAGGGCTTGGTGGTGGAATGGTTCACATCTGCATCCGATAAAGTAGTGGTAAGCGCGCTTGCTTATGCAAAAGTAGCCTGTTCGATTCGGGTCCAAGCCATGTGAAATTGATTTTTTTCCCCCCGTTTGCTGCAACAGCAGAAGAAATTCTGGTCGACATAATACGAGGCATTTAGGAGTTGGGAATGGCTTGGTCCACATCTGCATCAAATGGAATAAACTAATGAGTTTATGCGGAAGGTGCTTGTTCGATTCGGGCCTGAGTCATACAGAGGCGACCCGGTTTTTTTCTCTCTTCATTTGTCTCTCCGAGATCTCTGCACAAATTATGTTTAGTTTATATATATTTCCTTTAGCACGGCTAGCTGCAGGATACGTGTCGCAGAGTTGCGAGCCAGTCGGAGAAATTGAATATTAGGCGTGGGTGCTGTGCTGCCAGTGGACGGGGTTTTCACTGCCGCCGTGATGATGATTCGCATTAGCAACAGCTCTGCATGAACGGAGCCTACACCCCGCTGCCTGCCCCGGCCCAGGACCCCTTCGCCTACCCACCGGGCGGCCGCACAAAGGCCCTGCTCTCCCGCCTTGCCCCCACTGCGCCCCCGACCCGCATCCGGCGGCTGCTCGTCCTCGCAGCCGTCCTCGGGCTCAGCTCGACCCTCCTCGTCTACCTCATCTTCTCCGCCTCCCTCTCCAGCCCTTTTGCCCTCTCTTCGGTCTTGCGGAACCCCTCGAGGGGGCCAGGGTCGGTGTATGCAGATGGGGCAGGGTACACGGGGCCAGGCGACCCGCGGAGCCCGTTCTTCCGCGACCCGCACCCGGCGCTGCACGCGCGCCTCTTTCTCGCGCGCGCGCAGGCGGAGATCGCCGCGCGGCGGCTCGATACGTGTGGGGGGCAGCTCGGCGGGCGCATGGTCGACGCGTACCTCGCTGCTGCAGTGCCCTACTGCAGCGCCTCTTCCACCTCCTCGTCAAATACCTCGCACGAGCAGAACGGGAGCAGCACAAGCAGCATAACGTGCTTCCCCGCGCGCGCAGGGGACGGGACGCCGAACCAGTGGTGGCCGTACCAGCAGGCCTTCTGCGCCAGCCGCAACCTCGCGCACTCGCACGGGTGGGGCGGCGACGTGCGCCGCCGCGGCCTGTTCTCCGGGCACTGCGCCATTACCGAGGCGGGCGCGACGCTCAAGGCGAACATGGGGGGGGAGGTGTTCCTGGGGACGGAGTTCGACGATGCGGACAACGAAGACAGCAAGGAGGGGCACGGGGAGCAAGCGTGCGGTGAGCGGATCGAGCACCCGGTGCTCTTCGTCCCGCGGCAGGACCGGTGGAACCCGTTCCACGTCGGCGAAGACCTCGTCACGACCTTCCTTGCGCTCACTTTGTTCTCGCGTCACGTCGCCCCCTCCGCCCCCTCGTCAGCGAAGCTGTGGACCGCGCTGCCCGCTGCGCTCGCTTCCTCCTCTTCTTCTGCCGGTGCGTCCGCCTTCTCCGTGGTATGCAAGTCGCAGATTCTAACAGTGTATATACAGGAACGGAGAGCGCGAAAGCCGCAGACCTCGCGCACCAGCTCGAGGCGGAGCTGCGCGGCGCCGCGGGCCTGCAGCTCGTCTTCCAGGACGACCACCGCCCGACCGAGTCGCTCTTCGCGCCGCTGTACGACCGCATTGGGGCCTTCACGCCACGGAGGACGGGCGCGGAGGCGCTGGGGGTTGGGGGTGCGTCTGTTTTTTTCTTCTTTGGTTTCGGTTTTTAGTCTTCGCTGCTGCTCGTTGTGCGACTTGTGTCGACGACTGCACACACCTCTTCCAATCCCCGTCCTTCATTCTCTTTGCCCTGTATATCTACGGCCGGCCCCTCAGCCCACCCATCCTCCCCCTCCTTGTCCTGCTCGTGCATCTCCCCCACCATACCTCTTTCCCTTTCCTTTCGCCGTCTACGTCGCGGCATATCCATCCCCATCGACGGGCGACGTCTTCATCTTATTTACTCCGCTCGATGAACCTCTCGTCTGTCGCCGTCCTTCCACTGTCCCCATCACACCCTCTTGTCCCCCTTGCTTCCCCTCCCGCGGCTCACGTTCCTTTCCTCCCCGCGTCCCCTTCCCTGCCTGCCTCCACCTCCGTCTTCCGCGCCTTTCTCGCGTGCCACTCGCTCTCTTGCTTTCATCGCGCCCCTTCCTGCATTGCCCTTCCCGTTGTTATTTATCGAGCAGACATATCTTTCATTTTTCTCTCCTTACTTCCCGCTCTACCTGCCGCGCTGCCCTTCGTTCCTACGACACTGTCCTCCGTCCTGCGCATTCGAGCTTCTGCCTTCGTCCTTCACTGCCATCCTGGCCTTCCCTTTCCCACCTCTCCTTGTTCTCCGCCCTCCTTGTGTTTTCTCTGCGGCACATTGATCTCTCTCGTCGTCCTTCTTTCCTGTCCATGGTCCGCCTCCGTCCTGCTCATCTGACTCTCCACCATTTTCCTCTCGGCTTATCCTCCCTCTCCTCTCCTACCTTCCTCTGTCTGTCCCTTCCCTTCCCCCTGTTCTTTCCGTCTTCCCGTCTCTCCACTTTCCTTCCCTTCCCGTTCTTCACCTCTTATACTCATACTAACCCATCTTTTCCCTCAGGCCCGACCTGCTTCAGCACGGCCTTCCACTCCGTCGGCGCGGGCGCGTCGCTCCTCAGCGCGACGAACATCGGGCGTGAGCACAAGTGCGCGAGCGAGCTCGTATGGGGCGCGGGGCTGTGGCTGCGCTGGGTGTGGGGGCTCGAGGGCGCGGGGGTGCCCGGGGGTAGTGCATCTGCGTCTTCTGTTTTCAGGCGGGATGACGAGGGTGCGGGTTGGGAGCGGGAGTCGGTGGAGGGAGAGGGCGCGGTGGAAAGGAGGGCAGAGAGGTGGGAGGCAGAGAGCGGGGACCCGGTGCAGGTGCTTTTTCTGTCGAGGGAGAAGTTTGACGAGTTTACAAAGTGAGTGGGGCGTCCGTTTCACTTTTCATTGCTTCGTCGAGCGAGGGCTCGCTCGCGTCTTCCACGTTCTACGTATTTCGCCTCGATCTCCACACTACTCTTCTTACATCTCGCATATCGCGCCCCTACTCGATCGTTCTCTTCCCGTCCTTCTTCACATCGCTGCATCCCTTCCCTTCCCTTCCCGCCATTCTCTCGATTCGTTGTTCCCTTGTCCTCGTCTCCCTCCTTTCTCTTTCCTCTCTAATATTCACCAATACTGACATGTCCCCAGGCACCAGAACAAGAAGCTCTTGCCGTGGCAGGAAACACGACACATCACGAACGAGGCCGCGCTAAAGGAGGGGCTGCGCAAGGGCCTCGCGGGGCTGTGTCGGGTGGGCACGGTGGGGGGTGAGTTGACAACTTTTTTCGCGAGGGCGTATCGCACCCAGCCGTAGGGGCTCTCGTGACCCCAACAGCGGGCACGGTTCACCACCCGTGGCGCGAGCTCGTGGAGCGTACGGGCGGCACCCGGCGCGGCGTGCCGTGCCGCAGCGACGCAGCGGGCGTGCAGCGCGCGGGGGGCGTACCACGTTACGTGGCGCGGCTTGGGCGGCGCACCGGATGACGAAGAGCAGTAGGGTGGTGTTCGGAGTGCAGCACGACACTCGTCGGGCAGGACCGCCCATCCCGCTTCTGCCTACCCCTTCGTTTCTTCTCCTCCGCGCTCTATCTATCCGTTCTCCTCTACGCTACCCTCTGCATCTCGCACCGACTGACACTGACACGCACACAGGCCCCGAGACACCCGCGGGCGGCGCCCACGAGTGCACGTACACGGACGTGAACGTGCTGCCCGATACGTGGGGTGTGAGGATGCATGCGCTGGAGGCGCGCGCGCTGGGGCTTGCGGGGGCGGCTGGGGCTTCCGGCCCGGCGGGGGGCGAGGCTCGGGGGTCTGAAGGGGACGTACACGGGGACGCACAGACAAAAGAGCACCCGCCCGCGTCCTTCCCGCCGGACAAACGCGCGCCCACGCGCCGCCCGCCGCGCGCGCTGCGCTTCGCGACGCTGGACCCGACGACGACCGCGCTGCCGACGCAGCTGGGGATGGTCGGGCGCGCGGACGTGGTGGTGAGTGTGCACGCGGGCGCGCTGGGGCTGACGCTATTCATGCCCACGGGCCGCGCGAGCGTGGTGGAGCTGGTGACAACCGGGGCGGCAGGGGTGAGTCCTTTTTCCGTTTCGTTTCGTTTCGTTTCGTTTCTCGGGCACTGGTGGTATAATGGTGTTTGGCGTGAACAGCGCGGCCTCCCGAGCTGGCTGTCCCACCCCGCCCATCCGTGCTGCTTCCTCCCGTTTTTCCCTCCTATCCTCCACCCGTCCTCCCTGCCGTACACCCGTCCTCCCTATCCGCCGACATCTTCGAGTCTACTCTCCGTTCATCCGTTCTACCGTCCACCCGTTCTTCCCTCCTTCCCCGTCCGTTTTCCCGAACTACCTTTCATCTGGCCTCCTTCCTCCTTCCTCCATCCGTTCTCCCGATCTGCCGTTCATCTGTACATCCTCTCCGCTGCCCACCCATTCTCCCTTCAGCCGTTTACCCGATTTCGGAACCCCGCCTCTTTCCATCATTTGTTTCCTCATTCCTACCCTCCGTCGTTCTCCCGATCTGCTTTTCATCCGTTTATCCATTCGTTAATCTCCCGTGCCATCCCTCTTTCCTTTTCCTCGGCCGTTTATCCGATTACGGAACTCTGCCTCTTTCTCTTCCGTCATTCATGTCCTTCCTCGTTCTTATCCGCTCTACCGTCAACGCATCAACGGAGTTTACTATGCTCCTTGTATGCTTTCCCTTTTTGCCGACTTCCGTTCTGCCGTCCTGCCATCTTACGGCCCACCCGTCTTGCCATCCATCCGCCCATCCGTCCACCCGTCCACCCGTCTTACCGTCCACCCGTGCCCGCGTGCCCGTTTTACCATCTTCCCGCCCGTGTTCCCCGTTCTCCCGTTCTCCCGCTCCTCGCGACACGCATACCCTCACACACTACTCTCTTCATCATGCCCTCACTTCTTGCCCCCGTTCTACCGTTCTACCGTCGTCTTTCGTTCGGCCTTCCTTTCCTCCCATTCCCTTTTTGCCGATTTACCGTTTTGCC